AAAAGTTTGACTTTTACATAAACATTTACAAGTAAAAAAAATGTTGGAATAAAGTAGTCCCTCGCTACTTCGAAGTTCGAATTTTGCGGACTTGTTCTTTCGTGGTTTTTCAAAGTACAGTACAGTAAATGGTAAATGGATTGTACTTATATAGCGCCTTTTTATCTTATCAAGACACTCACGTTCTTTACGCTACAATCTGTGCCCTCATTTACCCATTCATACTGCACTCTACTATTTCTACACAAAGATAATTGAAGAAATCATTCTAAAGAGACTAATCAGAGCTTTAGATCACACTCATACACCGAGGGGACACACATCAGAGGCTATGAGGGGTTCAATGTCTTGCCCAGGCTAGGGACATGAACATGTGACTGTTGGTGGATTCGAACCCCCAACTCTTGGAGAACAACTGCTCTAACCACTCAGCCACAGCCACCCCAAGATTAAGATGTAAGATTGTTTTGTGGTTTTGGCGTGTACAAACAAACAAAAAAAAGCAACACCATTTTGTAGATTTCTCTCAATAAGCCTATACTGTATCACCAGTACAAAGAACTACATTACCCAGAAGGCAAAGTTGTTTTCTGCTTAAGGGAAAGTTTTGATCTGATCTGAAATGTTAGGTCCTTATAGTATTCATAGTGACTTTGGCGCTCAGTGAGCCTATCAGAACCAGACCAGAACTGGACCAAGGCTGGATAGGTCTGCCAAACCGGAACTGAGCCGGACCAGAACCGAGTTGCTGTGCTCTGCAGAGCTGGTGAGTAAAAAGGCATTAATACTCACTCAACTTAAAATTTTAAGTGGTGTGAATAAACGTCATCAAGTTATCTTGGTTAATAAACTCTTGATAAATAAACTTTTGCTTTAGTTTAGTTGATTTAAATTTAATAGTTGACTGTTTTGGTATGTTGTTTCAACTCAGAAATCAATGTCATTTCTACTTCGCGGATTTTCACTTATGCGGGGGGGTCTGGTCTGGAACGTAACCCCCGCGATAAACAAAGGACTACTGTAGATCATCGCCAGTTTAAATAAATGTTCCAGGGATCAAATCCACAGACTTTACAAAACCAAAGCATTAACAATTGACCTATCACAGCCACACATGCACTCACCACAGAACTGCTTAAATATGAAACCAGTAACCATGTTAATGAAAATGTCCCAGTTTTTGTCTGTCCTCAGTTTTCTGTTCTGGTCCCTTCTGTCTGTTCCAAATGGATTTAAACAGAATGTCTCCACTGGTGGGCACAGCATGTTTCACTGCAGCTCTGTGCTCACGTCAGGTCTAGTAGTGGTCGTATCAATGCGCTAAAATCAGCTGAATGTGCCCACAGGGCAGAAAATTGGAGATATATTGGAGATGGCGGTTCGGATCACTGGTGACACGTTCCAATCCACTTGACAACGCGGGTCTGTGAATGGTACCGCCATAACAGTAATAGGTAAAAAACCGAGAACGAATCACCAAAATTCATATTAAATTCCATTTAAACTTGTCAAAATAATTTAAAAAGTACACAGAACAAAACACAGCAAGCTCAGTAACTGAGTTGTGTACATTATTTATTAGGAACTACTTTGTAGGGCAAATTAATATTTTTAGGTTGGGCAGGCGATACTGGCGATGTAAGCTTTCATGTAAAACATTATGGTCTGTTGCAGGGTGGGAAAAAACAAAAAGTTTCATTAATGCAGTTTTAAATGTCATTAATCTTCTGTCTAAAGCTTCACACATTATTACTTTCACCAAAGCACTCCGGCATTTTTTCTCATTCTCTCTAAATGCGTCAAAGCGCGCACACAAATATTCTCAACAGTTGTTTTTGGTACTTATAACAGCGGAAGTTAATAAAATCCCATTAAAATCAACATTTGCCTTGTTGTTTTATCGGCTCTGGCTCTGCTTCATTTGATGAACGGTGTTATTTAATGCACAAAATGTGAAGCTATAATATTTTTCTGTTTTGTGTAGTTATGCAGAAAAAGGTACTTTTTTTTAAAGAACTGAATGTTTAACACTGAAACAACCAGCAGTGTATGATTTTATCAAAGGATATATATATATATTTTTTTTACCTTTTCATCTCAGGAGCTGTGAGCAGCTCAGGAGAGATAATTATTTTCCGTCACAGTATATATATATATATTTTTTTTTTAAATGGTCTTTCATGAGACGAAGCAAATTATTGACTGAAAAGCAAAATTAAATAATTTAACAGATTCCATTTTTTCTTGTTATATGCTCGTGTTGTCACTCTCTGGTTTATATTTATTAATTATTGAATTACAGAGATTTATTTAAGTTTTGATTATCTCGTGCACCAAAAAGGGAAAGACGGACAATAATGTTTTTCCTGCTTCTGTGTGTTTATCTTTAACCAAAATATCTCATGAATCAGTGAATAATGGATTTTAATTTGTTTTTAAGTTATCACTGAATATGCATCTACAACAGAGTCCCTTTTAGATCCAGTCCAACTCCAAATGGTCACCACAGCCATTTTATGTCTTTAATTCATAGACACCTTCAAATTACTCCAGTGTTAATAAAAGGTGCAGTCATTTTAAGAAACTAAGGTTTTAACGTGCATGTAGGATGTTCCCTAACAACCACTTTAAACAAAAGTTCTCATTTATAACATCCAGCTACTGAATGGAACGTAAAAAAAAGAAGAATAGTTTTTTTAACAATAAATCGTTTGTTCATACAAAAATCTGTGTCTATATGAAAGTTTATCGTCTTGCCAACAATGCAGACTACATTTATTTTAATATAAATGTTAGCATCAAGTATGGACCAAGTGTTTTTATTTTACCAGGCTGTAGATGAGAACTTGGTCAGATTCCACTGGATGACTAAGAACCATGTTTGTTTAGTGGGTAAACAAAGCTATGAAAAACCAGCTCTCCCAGTCGATTTATGAGCAGTTTGTTCTCAGAAAAGCTCAGAGGATATTGATCCTCCATCACACATCCTCCACACAGAATACAAGCTTTTGCCCTCTGGTAGAGGTTTCCCCACTGTGGATTAAATCATTTGCAAAAGGTTTCCTTTAATTCCTACTATTGACAAACTTTTAAACAAGTCATTGAGAGGCGTATAGGGCTGTATGTATTTTTAAGGGTACCAATGCATAGGTGTTGAAGCTTCCTTATTACTTATTATTCTGTTCAAAATGTTTGTCCTGTACCTATAGCCAAGCAGCTTAAAAAAAATAAAAATTTAACACCAAAACACGGGGCTTGATCAGGGTTAGTGCGCCATGAGCTTCAGTAGATACGTGACACATTGTAAACAAACAAACGATGATGATCAAGACTAGAAAACCAAAAAAAAGCTCTCTTTGAAACTCTATAGCACAGACAGGCTTCACAGTAGAAACATCATTCAAAGTTTAAACTGATCACTAAATGTCAGACTTTAAATGTCTTAATTGGCATGCAGCACGTGGCATCTTTTACCGATTTTATACAACTAAAGTTCTGATTTTTGAAGCTTTTACCAATAATTTTTCACCGAGAGTTGATGACATCACACAGAAACTTTAAAATAATTAATATTTTCTCATTTTTTTGCAAACAAACTTCTTCCTTCCACAACTGCTTTTGTTACATACAATTTATACATGAAATCAAATATATTTTTGTCTTTTTTCACGGGTCTCTCACTGCTGTGGGACTTGTGGTTCTCCCTTAAATCACCCCTGAATGCAGAGAGTGCACACTAAAGCTTCCACAGACTTCAGTGATAGGTGCATCTAAAAAAATTAAAATATCGTGAAAACATCGTAAAGAAAATCATAAAGAATATTGTGATGCTTCCAATGTCGTCTCTGATTCAGGAGTGGCTGGATTTTAGGAATGTAGATAAGGGAAAATGAATATGAGTTTCCCTTTCAGAAGTGATAAAATAATTGAAAAAAGTTGAAGTTTTTCCATAATATTCGTTTTGTTTTTTTAGATGTGCCTGTATATTTTAGATCCACAGATTCTCTTCAAAACTGGAAGTAAGGTTTTAAGTGTTGTAAACAAGTTAAACATAAAAACTCACCTGTATGACTATAAAGGCTTACTGCTTTTACTGCTGCTCATGATTTAAACAAATAAATAAATCAGATCTGACTTGTAGTTATCTCTAGGGGTGCACCAATTGCAGTTTTCTGGTCATCACTGATTTCTAAAAAGTCTGACCTGCTGATTCCGATCTTGGCCAATACCAATTTATCGGTGCACCCCAGTTATCTCCCAGCGACTGTTTGAGACTTCCATCATTTAACTGGCAGCCAGTCAGGGAGTGAGAGAAGCAAGTGTGCCATTACCATGGCGACCACAGTGAGCCACTGTCAGCTGTTTCAACATTTATTTTGAGCTTAGTTGTATCGCACTGCTTTAAAAAGTTTATACATTAATATTTAGGCTATTTCTTTCCTTAACATATACAGTGACAAGGCGTTGTTGGCTTTTTAAGACCGTAGCTACATTTGAGCATCTGGTTTCTCTTTGGGCATGCGCAGTGTGTTCCATTTGCTTCATAAGGGTTTGAGAGACAATGAGAACGAATTCAATTCAATTCAGTTTATTTATATAACGCCAAGTCACAATAGAAGTCATCTCAGGGCACTGAACAGACGTACAAATTATTCTTGTGACGGTTTCTGCTGAAATTGTGAAGTCAACGTGTTGACTAAAAGACACAGCTCCAGTTTAAGTCATAAGAGCATCTGCCAATGAATACATTATTTTCAGGGGCAATTTAAGTTTAATAAAGGAGACAGTTATTTCAAACCTCCTGAAATATATTTTAAACCCGTCTTTTATAATGTATCTGACTCGAGGAGCAGCTTACAATCATCATCTTCGATCACACCAACAACGAGGAGCAGCTCAGCACGAACCCCGACATTTAAACAACTCGAAATCTTGCTTCCGGGTTTAATTCGCTCGTATTAAATTGTACTAAAACGACCAAAGTTTCGATGTTTTCATACCTGTCGCTTGTCCGGAACCTTCACGCCGTCAGCAGCATCCTACAGGGCGCAGACATGTTGAAAAGCAAAGAAGAGGGTGGATACTGCGTCCAACCCCGGCGCGCCACCTGCTGGTCTGGAGGAGCAACTGCAGAGAAACGTAAGCGGCCAGCTCCTTCTAAAAACTATTTATTGTACTGTATTTATTAAAAATGTTCAATACAAAAATGCCCTGGATGACTAAGAATCTTCACCAGCATGTACTGTATTTAGTTTTACAAGTACAGTACTATTAAACTTTACTTGGAATGAGTGTCTGCCTTGCAGGTTAGGTGCAGGCAGGTGCATCTGACAAGAGAAAAATTAACAGCCTGATTTTCTGTAAACGGAATCAATTTTAAAAAGGTAAATCTCCATAGTTTTAATTTAGGTTTGACTTCATTCACTACTCAAATTAGTTTCTTCCACTCCAGTCTATAGTTCACACATGTGAAAACCGTTATAACCAATTATTTAACTGATGTTTAGTTTAATAGCCCATCATGATCGTTTAGTTGTGCAGTGAATTAAAGTTGTTGCATCATGAAGTATGACCAGAACCATGATACTTTTTTACATTTTAATAAATTCTCTTACACTTCCCTAATAAAACAAGCATAGGACAACACTGCAATTTTTTTTGCAAATAAACTTGTTTACTTTAATATAAATCAGTATAACCTTGTTTTCTTACAAATATTTTAGTTCAAATTATGGCTAATGCTCACAACATTTCAAATAGTAGATCATTATGACTAGATATAATGTTATGTTACCTGATGTTTAACAACTCAAAGCTATAAATGGAAACTTATTTTGTACATCACACTGTTTAATCAAATTTAGCTTAAGTCCATTTAACCAAAATGTTCCTGCCAGTAGCAGCTAATCTAAAAACCATTACTGAAAACCATTAAAATAAAAAATAAAAAAAAAAAAATAAAATAAAAATCAACATCTTTTTATAAATTTTATTTGGAATAAATTCAAGTTTTATTTGCATGACTTCAAGCTTCTTTAGGCAGCGGCACAGTTTACATTTTCATAAATGGATTGAATTAGAAAATTTAAGGTAATGTTTGCTTTAAACAAACACCTTGAGTGACTTTAGGAAGTAAGCATAATACAAAAGTGCTCAAGGTGACAAATTATTTTAGAAATATAAATTAAACATGATAGCCAAAACTATCAAATACAAATACATTTATCTTCCTGAGAATATCACAAAAAACAAAAACGGGCAGAAATATTTCAAACTGGCTCTAAAGATAACATTTCTGAAGTTACTCATAAATCACAGTTCTTCACACGGACACGTGAACACAAAAAAAAAAACAGTCCAAGAATCCATCAGAAACCTAAAGAAATACTCATGTTGCGTTTGAGGTAACAAAGAGGTGTTTAACATTCATGTACATGTGGTCCCAAACATTTTAAGCATTTAAAACTAGTTTAAAACCATCAGAACTGTTGCATAAAAAGCATGCACGAAGGGATTCACATATCAGTTGCTGGCCATTTTCTGAAGAACAGCAGCCCTCACATTTAATGAAGGCTCGTTGGGCAGAAATTCTCTTAACAGGAATGAAAGAAGCATCTGCAAGTAAAAAAAATAAAAATACAAAAAAACAGAAATGAACCGTTAAAATAAGCTGCAACAAAAGGACGACTGAAATAAATGTTGGGATACTCACATATATAAGAGTTTTATTTTCCTCACTGTTCTGGAAAATATTAAAAACTGACTCCACATCAGTCTTCTTCAGCACAAGGTACCTGGAATCTAGAGGAGACGAAAGTGAGATTTTACTTGGATTAAATCAGGTAAACACCTGGATATGTTGAAGTTAAGAGCAGCAAGGAGTGCCCTACATCGGGCGTTGATGAGGTTGTGCGCTCGATCTTTGGTTTCTTTCTTCTCCTCATCGGAGCGAGGAGGAAGAGGAGGAAGAGGCAATGCCGAGTGTTCAGTCCCCGGCCGCAATTTATTACACAGGGCGTTGATGTATGCAGTCATCTGCTCTTCTGATGGGTTCAACTTGTTTAGGAAAGTGTTCACCTTTCTGGAGAAACAGAAGTGACTCACTTAAAAAAAATGAAAGAAATTAAAATAATACAACAATAAATATGTCTGTATGACGTTTACTTCTTTAAGATGGGCATGACGGGTTTCAAAATGGCATCAAAGATGTTCATGAGAATGGAGTTGCCTGCAAACAGTAATGACCAGACAGATGTTTAGGTTAAAAGTTTGGTTTTGCCACTAGGGGGTGTGACACCTTCAAAACAACCTGAACAAAAGATTAAAAAGCTGCAAATACCTTTTAATTAAAGAAAAGTTGAAATAATGCATCTTTAGATCAGTTGATGTTTTCCTAAAAGGAGCAACTTGTGTTTCATTTAATGCCGAGCAGCTAAAACTCCAATTAGCAAATTAAAAACTAGATGAAAGACGCCAAAACGTTCTAAAAATGCAGTCATATTTAATTTAAACCAAGCACGCTCCAATTTATTCCACATTAAACTTTGAGGCTAATTTGTCATTTTTAACTTCAAGCTGCAGGAGTTCATCCGTTATGATTTTCAGCAAACACCCAACGACAGTCACTTTAACTGGTTTGTGTTCCATGTATTCATTTATTCAAGTTCACTAAAGTTACATTCTCTAAAGGTTTTCTCAGATTTGAGATCATTTCAGGTGATTTTAGTTCAGCACAACAGTGAAACCAGTTTTTTTTTTTTTTTTTTCAGTCAAGGCTGCATTAATCAACATACTGTGGGTTTTAAATAAATACGTTTTCCAGCTCTTGCTTCTGTTAATATTTTACATATCCTGCATGATTTAATCAACAGTAAATGAGGTTTTATCTAGAGCAGTTGTTAGTGAACCTTCCAGCCGTCAGTCTTTCATTATCGGAACGCCTAAAAGCACTACCTAGGTCTTACTAAAATATATATTTATAAACACTAACACACCACCAGCGTTGATTAAAAACAGCAAATTTTCACTGCAAGATTTTCTTCCCGAAACAAGTTTCAAGTCTCTACAAGCAGTTTTGTTTTAAAAACACTGAACATGAGCTGAAACAACTGGCTGTCAAAACTACAGGGGGGGAATAAATCTATAGCAAAAAAAGCTGCAGTATGATATATTTTTTTTAAAGTGTTGTGACGTTCACATGACAATATCTACCATTAAAGGCTTAAACAAACCAGATATTTCTTTCAGCAGATCAAATATTGCTTTGGTTGCCTCCAGCTGCTCCCAGTTAGCTTGGCCTCTCTGAGACTCGTCTCCTCTCTGCAGAGCGCCCTGAGTCTCCTTTCCTTTGGTCTTGTTTGCTCCTGCTGACGTTCGGAAACCCATCTTCTCCTTTTTATTCAGCTTTGCGCTGAAACTGAGCCACGGCTGCCCCTCTACGCCCTCCTGCTGCAAGCCTGCCGTTTCGTCAAGCTGCTCCTCATCGCAGCTGCACTTTGCCAGAGACTCTTGCGACCTGGATCTGGTCAGTCCTTTGATGACCATTTTAAAGTGAGATGTAAAGGTGTTATCACAGTCCTCTGATTTGTCTTGGGAGCAGTTTTTATGTGAAGAGCAGGAGTAAACAGCAGGCTGTAGAGCAGGATTTGTTTCTGCCTCCTCCGGCTGCTGTGGAGGCGAATTATACTGGGAGACAACAATAGTTGGGAATGGAGAACTAGGGAAGTCTCTGCCGTCCTCTGTAGAATTATAATGGTTCTCTACAGCAAGTGTTGTGGGTTCTGGATGTGGATCTGGCGCTGGGTTTTCTTTAGGGACTTCTGTCTGTGAGTTAGAGTTCTGCAGGAAAATACAAAACATTGTGGTCAGGGTGAGACTGTTGACCCTGAGGGAAGGACCTTCATAATGAAAACCAGGCACAAACAAAAACAACTATTTATTAATGTATAAATAAAGCTTTTTCCAAACATTGTATTTAGTTTTCTCGATGCTGTAAAACTTGCACAAAACAAACTGAAGAGAAGCCAAAATTTACTAAATTATAATCCCAAAATTTACTAAATTATAATCCAATACATTTTTCTTTTCTTTTATTCAGGATATTGAACAATATGCATGCATTAATATCCCTGTAGATTAGACGGACTAATTATTTTGCCGATTCATTAGGTTGATTAACCCTTTTTTAAATCAACACCGACGTGGCCTTCTCATACTAAGCTGATTAACAGAAAGGCACATCACCAGTAGACCCTCAAGGAAATTCACTGAAATGTTACGCTAACCGACTGAAAACGAGCCCGTTAGGTTCATTTGAACCTCGAAATGATCACTAGGTGTGAGTGAGAGATGAACTGTTGTCTGTAAAGTGGAGGGAGGGGCGGATTTAACCAAAATCAAAGTGTTAAAAATGTCCATGAGCAATTTTATTACAACACCAAATTTTAGGTTTACAGCTCTACAACTAAAACGGAGTTAGTCATTTTTGTGTTTGCCAAAGTCAAACAGCTGTGGCGACCTTCTTGAATTAAATATAGATTTTAGATGTTGACCCAATGATTATTTTAAGCGTTTCATTAAAATCTGTCTGAGTGCATATGAGATACTTTGCCAACAGACAGCAGAATGTACATTAAAGATATTGTGTGATCAGCGCTCAGTAGGCGCTACAAATTAGCTGTGGTGGCCACATTGAATAGAGCAGACTTCAAAATTTAGTCACTTGTAGTTGTACATCCAATGATTATTGAAGATTAGTTTGGTCAAAATTCATCAATAGGTTCATGAGATATTTCACTAACAGACAAATGACCACTAACAGGCAATTGTGTTATGTCTTATGAAGGACGACTAAGTTTTAAAAATATAGGAGTGCTTAGAGGGGCAGCACGGTGGCGCAGTTGGTAGAGCTGCTGCCTCTCAGCGAGCAGATCACCTCAGTTCAAATCCCGGCCGGGGGCCTTTCTGGGTCGAGTTTTCATGTTCTCTCCATGGATGTGCGGGTTTTCTCCGGGTACTCAAGTTTCCTCCCACAGATCAAAAACATGCATGTTAGGCTGACTGGTAACTCTAAATTGTTCCTAAGTGAGAGTGAGAGAGTGAATGGTTGTTTGTCTCCATGTGTCCCTGTGATAGACTTGAGACCTGTCCAGGGTGTCCCCCACCTTTCGCACAGTGACTGCTGGACATGGGCACCAGTGGCCCCCGCGACCCAAAAAGGAAGAAGCAGGTAAAGATGATGGATGGATGGATGGATGGCTTAGAAGGTTTGTAGTCCTATGCAATTCCTACAACTGACTGTCAAAACAACTTATTGTAAATATTTGCTCAAATGTTTTTAATTGCTGTTCATGATTGTTTATACTATAATTTAAAATAATGAACAGCTACAAATATGAATTAAAAACCAACTGCGTCTTTATATACTGGTTACTGACTAATGTTTTCAAAGGACCATCATTGGCATCAACCAGTGAAAAACCTGAGTCAGTAAACTAATGCACAGTTAGCAGGATGTCTTAGAAGAACACACTATGGTTAGACGTGTGGCCACAGATTAGAAAATAAAAATAAAAAATCTAATTCACTCAAGCATAAAAGCAAGGTAGTGGTTTTGCAACTCCTTTTCTAGAAGGCATCATTGATTCACCCTCTGAATGAAGAAACCGTGTTTAAATTTCACACAGCTACTGAGCAACAAGAGAAGCCACAGCAGTTTCAGTGAGCAGAGCAGCGCGTTTCGCTGCGTTGGGTCTGCATTGCAGGTCAGTGAGACTCATGTGGAAGTGCTCCCTGGTATTTTTAGTCCCCTGCAGAGACAAACTTGTTTCTGGTTTTTGTTTCCACATGGAGGAGTGACTTGGAAGTGAAGCAGAATTAACAAAAGCTGGTCATCATCAGAGCCTCATGCACGCTCTCAAAACGTTTTTCCACAGTGTGAGCAATGAGCATCATAAAGTCATGAATTTAAATACAACAGCTCTGAAATACACCTTTGGATGTGGCTCTCCAAGTAAAACGACTGCTGCATTAATCTTGATGCACCCTCCATTAGCAGGAAACCAAAAAAGGTACAACATTTACAATTTAAGCAGTCAGCGATGAAAAGAATTACATTTAAAATGAATTTACAAATACTTGCATCACAATAAAAAAAAAAGAATTGGGCTAGACCACCCACAGATGCCTCTGTGATGATTTAATGATCCGTCAATCAAGCCTCAGCCTATATAAACGTTTGTTTACAAAGATAAAGATGCTTTTAGTTTAATTGCAATCACTGAACATAACATGTGCTGCATATGTTTAATACATTTGTCACACCAAAGGTTTTCACTCTTTAAATGATCCAATATCTGACAGAAATATAAAATGCTGCCCAAATGTGATTCTGTTAAAATTAACCAATTCCATCAGCTCGCTCACAAACATTAGCTCTCAGGTCGCACTGCGTTCAGCTGCGAAGATGAAACATCTTCAAAGATACCAAATTCGACAGGTCCATAAAGAGTAATGTGGTTATTTAAAGGTCTGTTAGGCCTCGTATCGACTGAAACACACGTGCTCTCATTTAATGGCTTCCAAAGCAGTGAAAACAAATTTCATACAAATTGTTTCAGAAGGAGACCAAAGCCACACATATGGTGGTAAAAGATGTTTGTGGTAAAATAACAACAATTTAAAAATCTCATTAACTACTGAAACCGTCAGACTTTGCAGAGGTTTTTGAATTAAACCCATCAGCTTTGGCTTCAACTAACCATTCATCCAAACCATTTTCTGTCATTTTAAAAAGATGAACGGTCCTAGTTTTTACAAAAAAAAAACAAAAAAAACAATAGCTTTTGATAATTCAAGACAAAATAATTTATAAAATAATTCATTTTTAATCTATTTACACACTTTAGACAAGAGTAGAAGACTGTTTTACTGCCTTAATGAAATCAGCTGACATATGAGCAGAAACTGATTTTAAGTGATAATTTTAATTATTTCTATGCTTTTTTTTTCCACAACACATTTCAACATAAAAACAGGCACCTGTGATATTATGTAATGACTAACAGGAGAATTCTTGCAGTGTGTCTGGGGGTCTGGTTGCAGCAGATGGTGTTTGGCCACACAGCAAGGGCATGAATTCATACAGCCACCAAGCAGAACCAACAAGAATCTAAAGCTGCAAGCTGAGTATAGCAATAGCTAAGCAAAGCTATTTTATATACAATAGTACATAAAAGGTTTGTCAAACTACAATTTCTCCTACCTGCTATGACACTGTGTCCACAAAAACCATCCAAAGTGTACAGAAATGCACCTGGTGAAAATCTTGTTTACTCCAAAACAAAACAGTAAATTCAGTTTCTAACCAACGTTGATCATTTGTCAACTTGAAAAAAGAAAAGAAAGAAAAAACAGCAATGAAACATTACCTCCTCTTCTTCTTGGCCTGGAGTGAGGAAGTAGGCCAAGCCACTGAGCAGGCCCCACACGCCTTCATAATGCTCCTCTTCATTCAGCAGTTTGTCAAGAGGACACAAGAACTGAAAAACAGGCTGACTGTGGCCAATCGCTTCATCTGAAACCAATTCCTACAAGAAAAAAATACGAAACATTGAGTTATTGAGCTTTTTAACGTTTTATCTTTCAACGTATGCGAGTTTTCTGACCTGCAGGAAGTGTTCAACTGAAGTTCTGGCCTCTTCTTTAACCTCATCGTTAACGTTGGACTCCTCCAGCTTTAAGATTGTAGGAAGGCTGGTTGAGTCCTAAAAAAGAAATTAAAGCTTTAATTCTAATTACATTTGGTAAACTCAAATGTTATGTATTCTCAGTATAGGGAACGTGCTACTTGGACCTTTGTAATAAATAGATGCGTGTACAAAGTTGGATTATTTATTCTTCTGGTATGAATGAATCAAGACATAAAATGAATCAGGAGAAGTCAAATAAATTTATTTTAGCAAAGACACAAGAATCCTCACCATGGTTCAAAAGTGCAACAAACGCAGCTAAGCAGAAAGAAGCTCAATGAAGGTAGCGTTAATAATATGAATATTTGCCACCAACAATAAATTGTTTTCAGTTGTTTCAGGCAATAGATACTTCAGTTCAGCTGTCTGTAGTGGACAAATCTTTTTACAATCTTAGTTTTTGACACTTAAAGCCCTCTCAGGTGTGCAACTAATCATTGCAATATTAGCATGTTTATATTTCTGTGTTTAACAATAACAGATCAGTGCAAGAGTTTTTCAGGATTTTGGTAAATTAATCCATGCTGACACTTTAAGAGTTAAGAGCTAGTCACTGCATGGTGCCAATTGACATTGTGGTGTTACTGTGAGGGCTGTAGAAACCTGCTTCTGTATTTTTCATTTTTCCCATATTTTCCTAGGTGAATATAAAAAATGCATGTCTGTAAAGAATAAATTATCATAACATGACTGTATTCAAATGTTTAATATGCATCTCAGTTTCCAGAAATAAACATGATGTTAACTGCATTAGCCTTTCAATGAGGTTTCAAATGTTAGCATTTATGCTAATCGTTGGTCAGCAGCCTGTGAGCATTACGGTAGTTTTTTTGACACTTTGTTGTCTTTAATATGCAAGAACATTTATAAATAATTTATTAATCATTTTAAATCATAAATCAAATTCATAAATGTGTTCAGTTTGTAAAATAAGAGCCATTTCAATTTATAAATTTGCATTTCCATCTCTTCATTTCAGATTCAGTGCGTTTTGAATAAATTAACCAGCTGCCAACTGGTGTTAAACAAACCTGATAATTGAAGATAATCGAAGTGCTTCACTGATAGTTTTATCTTATCACAGCCTTGACAATTACAACTGAAGTGCCTAAGGATCATCACCCCTAGTGAATGACATTTTTGTACTAATTTTCGATACTTGTCTCTATTTTATTGTATTTTGTGAATGTATAACATCTCATATGTTGCCATATTTTCTATATTCTGTATTCAAATTTACAATTTTTCTATAAATACTTTACTTTATTGGTATTTATATAAAGGTTTCTTCTGACTTTACAGATGTTTCTTCTTCACCGAGTAGCCTTATTTGCTGCTGCAACAATGCAAATTGCACCTGTTGAGACACAAAGGCCTAAATATTTTCTGCCTATAATTTCAAATATGCCAAAGTTGTGTTATTTTGATAGAGTTGCCTGCTTTAATGTCAGTTTACGACTATATTTTAGAAAATGCAAAATAAATAGTTTAATGCAGATATTTCTGTGAATTGTTTGAACCATCTAGTGATTTTTTTTGTTACGTTTTCTAACAGGTTGGTGCTTCACTGCATCAGCCAAAGAACTGATGTGTTTTGATGTGTTTGGGTCTTAGCCACATGGCAAATGGTCTGAACTTACATCTACAGCCACCCAAACCTTTCTGCACTGCACACAGAGGTTTTTGTCGTTTACCCACGCTGACATAAATGGAAAGTAGACATGACCAGAACACGAGACAGACCATGCCTGCCAGTCAACACAATTTGGAAACAAGTACTTGGGAAACAAAAACAAAGATCAGAGCTTTGGTTGTGGGCCTTTACCTGCCATCTGTTGCGGAAATGAACAACATCCATGTAGGTCTTCTTGACGTCCCATTGTAAATTTTCAGGGCTGTCTTTTTCCTCCAAGTGCACAGTAAAGGTCAACTCCTCTTCCTCCAAGTCAACCTAAAACAAAAGTTGACCTCTGATTAGAAATCCAGCTCAAATATTAATAAACCGGCCCAACAACAAGTTTACAGGACCACCATGCTGACATTTCCCACTCACATGAGGGATGCTGACGGTCCAGCAGCCAACACGCCACATCTCATAAGACAACTTGAATTCTATCAGGTCCTCTTGGACGCTTGCCAGGTAGTCCTCCAGATCGCTGTCGTCCTGAAGGTGTTAGGTTAAAGAACAACAAAACAATGAAAGTGTCAGGTTTAGGACAGATATTTTTATGTTAATATATTGTATTATGAGACTCACCCTTTCAGAGTCATCTCGGTTGAGAAATGATCCACTTCTGCTGCTGGCATTGTCCTCGGACGTGTTCCTCTGGGCCGCCATGATTGTCATAAGTAGGTCCTGCTCCATCTTTTTCATTTTCTTCTTCTTGGCTTTCCTAGTCTTCATCTTGTCCAAAAATTTGCACCATCCTGCCCTTATTCTCTTGCCTTGAAGTTTGAATAAATCGTGTGGGAAAGTTCAGAGTTTAAGTTTATTTGGTGCAAGAATAAAATTATGCAAAACAATTTATTTTCTATGTGTACTGAGCAATTTGAAACGTAGTTTTCTGGTACCGCTTCCTAATAAGGGTCCCTTTAAAATGGATTTCTTGATAAACAAACTATTTAAATAATAAAATTGGTTAGTTATGAGTTTGTAAAAGGTTATAAAGCATTAACAATCTTAAAAAATTAACAAAAAAAAACAACTTAATTTTACATTTGGAAAGATTAAGTGCAAGAAATGTAAAAAAATGTTTAGAACTTTAGTCAGTAAGTTACCTGCAAGTAAACACTGAGCATTTGTGAATATAGTTTTGATATTTAAAGTAATTTAAAAGTAATATGAGCAACTAGCAACCTGAATGAATAAAACACCAGCGCCTGAGCTTGCTGCATTAAATGAACAGTGTTTTATAAATGGGCAGCACGGTGGCGCAGTTGGTAGAGCTGCTGCCTCTCAGCGAGCATGTTGCCCTGGTTCAAATCCCAGTCCGGGGGCCTTTCTGGGTGGAGTGTGCATGTTCTCTCCGTGCATGCATGGGCTTTCTCTGGATACTCTGGTTTCCTCAAACAGACCAAAAACATACATATTAGGCTGATTGGTAACTCTAAATTGTCCCTAGGTGTGAGTGAGAGAGTGAATGGTTTGTCTTGTTTGTTTCTATGTGTCCCTGTGATGGACTGGAGACCTGTTCAGGGTGTACCCCGCCTCTCGCACAGCGTCTGCTGGATATGGGCACCAGTGACCCCCGCGACCCGAAAAGAAAGAAGGGGGCAAAGAAAATGGTGGATGGATAGATCGATGTTTTATAAATGAATGCTAATGCTTTTTAAGTGTTTACAAACTACACAAACAGCCTATTCATAAAGAATTAACAAGTGATACACCGATGCCCACCGTTGTTAAGGAACTTGAATAGTGAATGTTTGTAGCTTTGGAGATTAGTGTTTTTCTGGACTGGAATTGAACGGGGAATGCAAGTAAACCTAAATGTTCTTTGTGAAAGATATACAAGTGGGTAGTAGTTGCATTATGTGTAAAAAGAGAGAGGGCTTTTTCTTTTTTTGCCTGAAGCAGCGCAGAGTGATGCATCGTGACAAGTGGAGGGAGCAATTTTATTCACCACCAGGTGCAATGACGGAGCCAGGTGGTGCTCAGGGCCACTATAGATTAATTTTCAGTCACCCCAAGGGTCACCCCAATCATTTGAGAGAAACTATACTTTTAAACAATATAAAAACTAGAAAGCATAGTTTCCTCAATTGATGATGTTGGTTTCCATATATGGCAGTGGCTATATTGGATTTTCACATGCAACCTTAATTTTGAAAGTTTCTCATGCATAGGTGAAGCCACACACCAAAATGGAAGTCGGTATCTCACTTATTTTTCAAGTTATCATACTCACAACATGCACACACAGTCGGAGGGCATTTCCAATTCCCCCTCTCCGCGACAATAAACCCTATATAAAGAGATCCATTTTAGGAAGTGGTACCAATTCTTTTTTGTTGATAAAAGAACATTTTGGCAGAAATTTCACACGTGTGTGTGTGTGTGCGTGTGTGTGTTGTGAAAAAGAAAATTGTGGCAAAATTGGTGAGAAAACCTATTCAGGCAGTACAAAAGACAAATCAGCAGTGAAGCATGATTAGCATTCACACAGTCACTGTTATCCGTGAAACAGCCCATTATTATGACAAACCATTACACCTATCAAAGTTTCACAGAAATATCACAAAATGTATCATCATGACGATATAATCTACTCCCATTCAGTCATCATCTGTGTTGGATACTTTTCATTACAAAGTGACAACACAGAAGTTATTTGGCATTCAGTGTGCCAGTGCTGTAATTAGCTGTCTGGAAGAACAAACAAAAAATAATAATAATGAAACATGGGATTAATTGAGCACTAAAAGGCAGGCTGGAAACAGAAATTATGTCAGAGCTGACAACACATTAACAAACTATTGCACAAGACATGATCCTCTATTATATACAAACTTTATATAAAAAAAATCTCAATGTATACTGACTGGGCTTGGAAATGAATAATACATACCTCTCCTTTTGCATCGGACATCAAAGCCTGTTGAATTCTCGACTCCATGCATGCTCCTAGATTTGTTTAAAGATGAATAAAATCAAAGGGCCACAACTAATTCAAGTCAGATCCAATTTTAGACATACGCAGTGGGTGTTACTGGTATTTCACAAACACTTGGTTGAGTCAGCGGGGTGCAAAGATGACAGCAACTCACAATTCACCGTCGCTGTCACCCTCCTGTGAAGCAAGAGAGGCCCGATCTGGGTCAGATGCACGCTGCTCCTCTGCAGATCTCTTCAGGGCAACGCTGTCGAGCTGATTCACCACCAGCTGGTTCAGATTGTCGGGGTCAGACAGCCAGTTCACCAACAGCCCTAACCCTGAGAAGACAGACACCGTGGTCAAACTAACTTTTAATCTTTTAATATTAAACTTTTAATTAAGGCAACGCACAAAAAGTTATAACTGGATGGAGATCTACATCTGATTATATTTGAAAATTAACTCGGTTTAAAAAGGTGTGTTTGTGCCATGTGAAAACAATGCAGGCACGAAATACTCATTCACTTCAGAGGAGAATCTTTCAAGCCACTGCAGACAGAATGTAAATTTATGGAGAAAGCTGACCAGGATTCGTGTCAGAGGATGGAAACTCAGCAGAGTACGTTTAGCAAAAGAATCATCTCTGTACCCCATGGCCAATAGTAATTTACCCCACCTCCCAAAAATCTGTGGTCTTTGCCACATAGGTATCCACTGGGGTCTAAGATGTGTACATAGCTTGTTACACTTGGATGGTCAATTCAAATGTGCATGTGTGGGGGGCATGGGGGTTGGACACACACACAAAAATGTGTGTAAATGTCAATTAGCAACCCTTGTTTTTTGGTAGTTGATGAACTGCATAAAAACAAGCACCTACCAGTAATTTATTAACATTTTTAAAACTATATTTATTAGAAGCATTAATTTATTATGATTTCCTCTATATCAACAGCTTTTCACTTAATTCCAGCACAATGCGTTTCTCCAACATGTTTTCTTGGCTGTAAGTTCACCATTTTTTGGGCTCATGATGATCTCGGAACCAAATAAATGTTTACATCAGTGAGAGGACATCTGGTGACGCTCCATTTTCCTCATAAGACGACACACGTGCGTCATAAATTGCCACAGTGCGACTATTTCTTAGCAGCGTCTGCACCTGACAAAGTACAGCAGAACTGTAAAAGCTCATCGGAGAGTATCTGCAATCAAGCTGCAGGTGGAGCACAATAAAATGTTGCTCAAAAACCACACATTGCATGGCAGCTGTTCATGCCAGAGTTCTGTAATCAGATGTCAAAACTGCCCAACACCAACAGATCTTTGGCAACCAGGACCAGAGCTGCACAATGTTCCACGTACAAACGCGACTGTCAGCAAAACACAAAGGGAGACTTTAGTTTCAAATTACGTTTGCAGCAGGTCTGTTCTTCACCGCCACTAAAAAGGCAGAGAATACAGAAATATGCTGTTGCTGTCACTTATGAATCTTTCTCAAACAGACCTAAAATGTAAGCTCTTTGCTGCTACAAAGACACAACAAACCTTTTCTTGAAGCAGACAAACTAGTTTCAGCTGAAGCCATTTTATCATGAAGGCTCATCAGTTAAAGAATCATCCTGTCAAAGTGCGACTCCCATCGCATTTTGTCCCAGACTGTGCAGACCGGTTTCTCTCAAAGATTTAAGGATTACAGTCCAATCCAAGATCCACCCCACACAACCTCTCCCCATCTTCTAACCCTCACCTCCTTCCTAAAACTCATTCACCCTCATCATCCCTCCAAATGGAACAACATCCCTTCATCTTATGAGCTTTCGCACTTTTCTCAGAAAGCAGATTTAAATAAACGAGCTAGTTTTTCATGTCGCTTACAGCCACAGACGGACAGAAGTCTGCCCATCACAGGCTTCAGCTGAGTGAACAGCCTCTGCAGTCAGCGGGCAATCAGAAAGTAATCAATGGACATTTAGTTCCTCCATAACTGATCAACTTTGAAAAATCAACTATTTAAGTTGGCCACCACCGCTAATGGACTTTAGCAAGCACAAAAAAGGCTAGAACTCCGTTAGTTGTGGCCAAACCAAGCTACAAAGAAAAGCAGAATGCTTTAACCGCCGCAAGCATTGTGCGAAATGACCCGGTGTCTTTTTACAACTTATTTTAGGGCAATAATTCTGAATTTAAAGAAGCTAATGTCTACTTTTGTTAATTTTATTTTGAAAGGGGTTAATGCAACAATGGGTGAGCTGGAAAGTTGCTCATGCTGCTTTTACCATTTCGTTCAGCTGCAATAATTTACCTCAACCTATTAAGTGCATTTAAAAATGAAAAGTGCAGTAAATTTTAAACATGAATATTAAACAAAAAAGTTAAAGGACTTTGTATCAGATAAATTATAGAATCACTGACTGCTCATTACATTTAGTCTGAATGCATGTCACTTCATTACGCACCTGAATAGCTTCGAAGTCGATTAAATCATTTCTTCTCAGAGCTTCACAAACTTATTTTACTGAAACTGCAAATTTCTCAAAGCTGAGACCAAGAAATAAAACTGTTCTTTTATTTTAGCTACAGCTGAAAAGAATCAGGATGAGGCGACTCATAGTATGAAAACAAAAATGTTCAGGACAAAAAGCAGCACGAGTCGGTGTTTAAAACGCTCAAATTTCTTAAATAATACGGTTCTGTGACATTTTACGAGATCTGTCGGCACTCAGAGAATATGTTGGGGATGAAGCTCAGCCACTACCACATCAAACTGTAGCTCAGAGTCTAAGTTTGACCAAGTTATAGCCATTTGCTGAAGTCGGCGAGCTGTGGCAGCCATCTTAAGTTGTAACTCCAGAATTTTTTCGTTTGTTGACGTGCACGCAACGATTACTTTCTCAGAGTGTCATTGGAGTCCGTCCAGAGGTTCATGATAAATTTTGCTAACAGACCAACGCTGTCAATGCTAAAGCTTTAATAAAAGATGGACAATTTGTAGCAGTGTCATCTTTTAACATACTGAATTTTACCTCAACATTTTGTATATTTAACCAAGTTAAAGCTGGGTGTGTGGTTTATACTGTTTATTACCTGTGGAGGCCATCTTGAATTGATCACTTGTAGAGATTCATCCAGTAATTACAGTCAGTTTTCACAAAGAGAAATAAAAATAACCTACATTGTGTTGACTTGAATACTTATGCATGGTCAGACATTTTTTTTAACGTTAAATTTTAAACTGTTCTCTCCCCCTTTTTTTTTTTTTAATTTAATTTAGTTTTTTAACTAAATTGGTTTGAATCTTTGAAGTAGTTGTGCTTTATATCCTTCCCATCCACCAAAACACTTTCTTTCAGTTCTGAAATCTAAAGAAACAGGGGGATGAATACTTTGCATCCCACTGAACATGATTTAAATCTCATTTACCAAAGAACAACAGTCGAGCTGTCAAGTTGTTCAAGTAAATCATCATGTTCAAAAATGATCAAACTATTAAATTATTTGCTCATCAATTTGTTTTTACAGGTTTCTTTGTGTGGAAAACTCAATTCTGTCAACTTAGCTGAGATCTTCTATTTAGGAGGCATTAAATTAAATTTGACCTAATTAACTTGACTTAAATTAAAAGCTTTGCAGAGAGTGGTGAAGGCTGCACACAAGACTGCTGGAGTCAGCCTCCCCACATCACAGACATCTACACCTCCATATGCAGGAAGAGGCTCACCTGCATCATGAAGGACCCCACTCACCCTGCACACACACACCTTTTGCCCACTCCCCTCAGACAGGAGGTTGAGGAGCATTAAGTGTAGAACCACTAGACTGAGGAACAGCTTCTACACAGAATCTGTTAAGACTCATAAATCCCCAACCAAAATAATCACTGTAAGAAAAATAAATCACTGTAATGACACTTTGGTGATATGTGCTGCTGATCTCATGCTGCTGATCTCATGCTGCTGTATTCATTCGTATTCATCTGCTCACACAGACTCATGTTCGTGTTGCTGTTGTTCAGTGTATCGTTTTGCACTAGCGTATTTCTTCGTTTATATCTTAGATCCTTATTTACCGTTTCTTTTTACACTTTATATTTTTGCTATTGTTGGATGTAACTGGGACCCTATGTACAATTTCATTCCACCTCATGTACCACATGTGATGCGAATGACAATAAAACCTACTTGAACTTGATTCAAATAAACATGTTAGTAGTGAAAAAAAAAAAAAAAACTTTCAGGTCCTTCCGAGTGTAATATAAAACTTAAAAATCAAACCAAATGCAATAAAGGAGGTAGAAAATATTGATTTAATAAAGACGGAAAGCAAATCTGCTGCAGCTTAAATGTTATTCAAACATTTTCTCTTCCTTCTCAAGTGCTAAAAAAAATTTGACTGTGATGCAGCACATTAACACATTTGCAATTCATGGAGGAGGAAGTCTGAACAGAGTTGCTGTTTATTTAATAAAACTATCTGATAAAATTCAAATCATCTCACAACCATTATGTGTATGTAAATGCAGCCGTTTCTATTTGCGCTGCACTAAAAGTGATACCTACATGTGACCTAGTTAGATTTAAACAGAAACGAATCGCCCTAACATTTTCAGCTGCCTTAGGGTAAATGAAAATGTGTACATGTTTGAAAATAGCTTTTACAGAAACTAACGTACTTAAGTGCGAGAATCTTTCCTACAAAAAGACTCATGAGATCAAACTTATTCATCTCTTAAAAAGAGAAGTGAAACCCCACAGGGAAATTGGAGGATCACAGTAGAAGTATCTATTCTTCCCGAGAACACAAAATTCCTCTCTAAGCTCTAAAATGCCGCCGACAATAAGGGATTACACAGAATTCACACTTCTGAAAGAAGCAGAGGCTTAGTCCTTATATAACCCAGTGTTACTGTAGAAAGGTGATTTAGTGCTTTCTTACCCTTTACGGCAACAATCTCATTTAAGGCACAACGGTTGAGTTCTTGCCTCCAGAAAGAATTGGGCAAAAGGTTGCGTATCAGTGCATCGGAAAGCTCTCTGAGAACTTCCATTTCCACAGTCAAGGAGCTGAAAAAGAGCTCTCTGAAACATGAAGCAAAAAAACAGGAGAGTCCAAATGTTAATGAGCACTATCCACATCTAACAGGTGCGTAATTTTAAATCTAATGCGGCGCAGTTCTCTTTAAATCACTGTGTGCTTTATGAAAAGCACTGCAGGTGCAATCCAAAATATGGTTAATTATCCACCTGTGAGAAAATGAAAAGTTTATTGAGTTCAACTATTGTACTGAGTGCAAGAATTCTGACTCAGTAAAAGGCAGATAACGTCATACCTGTCGGGCTGCTTAGCATTATGCAAGTGCTGGGTCAGAATCCTAATGGAGCCCACCACCGCCTGGCAGACGTCAAAGTCTCTGGACCTCTCAATGATGCGGTCAATTACGAAGTCAAACTCCTTGCTGAGCAACATGTGCAGAGGCTGGTGCTCGCAGGGCTCGGGGACGCCGTACCATGGCATGACCAGCCGAGCGTAGGCACACTCAAACACTGAGGAGAACCACCACATCAGGGAGTTAACAGAAGAAACAATTTGAGCATGTACACACAAAGCTTCAAAACATCAAACAAATCCCCCAGATGAAAAAACTTTTTATAAAACTTGTGAAAATAAATCAAACCCAAGCTCCTATGTGATGCCACAATTCTCCTCTGAACATGAAGATAAGGTTATCTGATGTATATCACAGTCTGTGACACGGTGTGTCCTAGTAATCTCAAACATCACTTAAATTTAGATATAAAATAATGTTTTGTTAGAATGATCTGACACTCTTTGGTTGGCTCTCAGTTTTAGGAGCCTCTGGGTCTCATCTCTGCTTTTTGCAGATGACATGGTTCTGATGGCGTTTTTAAGACCATGACCATCGATGTGCACTGGGGTGTTTCAGAGCCGAATGTGAAGCAGCTGGGATGAGTCAGCTACTCGAAGTCGAGGCTAGAGATGCATCCATTCCACATCTTTTTCCCCGAACAGTCTAGTACACACGGGGCTGATGCCGATTACCGTACAGATACTGATGAGTTACATTTACAAATTTAATCTATTCCAATGGGTGATTTGTAAGATGAAAACTTGCATTTTAAGCATTCAACGTAGTGGAGACCAAAACAACTTCTTTTATACCTTCAGGGGTGAATCTTAGCTTCAGGGAGAGGAGTTAAAGTATCAGAGTGTTGTTCATGGACGATGGTAGGATGACATAGGAGATGGGGCAATGGATTGGGGTCTCTTCTAAAGGAATGAGGGAGTTTATTCGGTGTGTCGTGAGCTCAAAAGGCAAAACTCTTGTTTTACTGGTCTACAGTCTAACCCTCATCTATGGGAAGATGATATTAAGAGATCCCAGACACCAGCAGGTGAACTGGACACTCATAGGGTGGCTGGGCTCAGCCTCAATAGGGTGAGGAGTGCCAACATCCAGAGGGAGCGTGGAGAAGAGCCGCTGCTACTCTGCATTGAAAGGAATCTGCTAATGTGGTTCAAGCATCTGATTAGGATTCCTCCCGTTGGGAGGATTTCCAGGCACGCCCCACTCGTAGGAGATCTCGAGGCAGACCCAACACTCGTGGGAAGAATTAAATGTAGACCAGGACACACTGATGTCCAGTCTGCTCAACTAATGTGGATTAAATGGTCGGACTGCATCTCTGGACGTGGACAGAGAGAACAGACTAGAAGCAATCCAGAATCTGCCCACTGCATGTTCACACCTTTGTCTTCTTCTTTCAGCTTTTCCCTCTTCAGGGTCCTCCACAGAGTCTCATCCTCCTCCATCTCACTCTGTCCTCTGCATCCCCTGTCCTCACTCCAACTACCTCCATGTCCTCTTTAACTGCATCCACATATCTCCTCTTTGGCCTTCCTCTTCATATTTTTCCTGGCAGCTGCATTTCTAACATCCTTCTACCAATATACCCACTGTCTTAACTTCATCTCCCAGTTGTTCAACCTGTGCTGTACCTCTGATGATCTCATTCCCAATCTTATCCATCCTTGTCACTCCTAAGGAGAACCTCAACGTTTTCATTTCTGCCACTTCCAGTTCTTTCTTCTGCTTTTTGTCCATGTCTGTCTCCAGAACATACAACATAGCTGGTCTCACCACTGTCTTTTACATTTTTTCTTTGACCTTTGCTGACACCCTTTTGTCAAAAATCACTCCTGAAACTTGTATCCATCCATTCCATCCTGCCTGGACTCTTTTTCACCTCTTTCCTCATTTTCCTGGACAGTTGACCCCAAATACTTGGAAGTCCTGCATCTTTGTGACCTCTGCTCCTCGTAGCCTCACTGTTCCACCGGCCTCCCTCTCATTCACACACATGTACTGTCCTACTACGACTGACTTTCATTCCTCTTCTTTCAAGTGCATTCCTCCACCTCTAAATTCTCTTGCACCTGTTCCCTGTTCTCACCACAGACCGCAATGTCATCTGCAAACGTCATCATCTACGGGGATTCCTGCCTGACCTCATCTGTTAGTCGGTCCATCACTTGTCAAGTATTTTTCTACAAGTTTGGTTTGTTTTGGCAATGAGTCCTTCCTGTTTTCTCTTACAGAGAAAAAAGCAAACTCAAAACCTGCCTTTTTGTCTTAATTTAATTTCTGCCATTTATATTCAGCCCTGAATTGTCAATTTAAATGTTCTTACCTGGATATAATTTTAAGGTTTTTTTTTTCTAAAATGTTTAAATTACTGTCTTGATCTAAAAGCAAAATTTATTATTTTAATATATTTTTCAAGTTCTTTCTCATGCATAATTTTAATGTTTTAAATACTTTAAGTGTACTCAGTTCTTACTGTGCATTTATCTGATATTTTCTTAGAACTGTGGTTTAAAAGTTTGAGTCTCTTTGATTTTTCTCACTCTGATCAATATTGTTTAATAGTTTTATGATTGCCATTTTTCCATTTTGTTTAATAATAGTGGGACATGTTCTTTTCTGTGGTTTTCCCCTTTGTTTCTTTATTTTTTTTACTCTGTAAAGCACTTTGTTACTCTCAGCTGCATGAGAAGTGCTCTAAAAATAAAATCCAATTGAATGATACAGAACTTAAAGCGTTACTGAATATAGGACTGATTTTTAAGTGATAAAATGCACAGAAGAGGCTGAAGTGGAGCCGAGTCTAGTTTCTACCTCATTAAAAAAACTGGCAGCTATGAACAGAGAGCTCAAGACCGAACAAAAATGGGAAATTTTACTGCATTACTCTGGCATTTTCAATCCAACCATTCAGACATTTATTTAGGCCTATTGTTTCGACTTGTGGGGGGATATATTGTCTTAACGTTAAAATCAAAAAGCAAATATAATGCTGAACAAGTTGATTCAAGTTATATTAAAAAGTGTGTACTTAGTTTCTTAGAAAGGGTTAAACTTTGTCATTTAGACAAAATAAAAACATAATAAACCATAAAACGTGCAAATTAGAGTTTGAAAGTTCAAAATGTAAATAATTCATGAGGGTGGCTCAATCATTGCTGTGCAAATCACTCGTTTTTATTTATAACCAAGAATGAACATTAGGTGATTATTTGTTTAACTGCTGAAATTATAGCATGTTTGAACTTTCACCAACATAAATGAAGTGCAAAGCATTTTTAACTGAGGCACTAATCAAAGAACTAGAAATCTGCATAAGCCAATTTGATTATTGCTGCACAAACCGGATGCAAAGCAAACATCTGATAATGCTGTATGAAACCCTCCAGCTCATTTCCTACATGATATATCACAGCCCCAAAGAGCACCACAGTATATAATGTGGGTTTTTCCATCTAACCCTTCCTCACAGCTTCTCCTGGCAGTGTAAAATGAGCCGGGTGTGCAGCGGTGTGTATGCAAGATTTGCTTTCATCTGTGTCAAGTTGAAATAGCGCTAAAATCAGGAGCAGAACTTCTAACATTCACTTCAGTCATTTTAATACACATTCAGCCAACATGTATCAGGAGCATAACTTCTAGCATTCACTTAATCCTCCTTGTAATAGTATTTGGACTCATGTAGCATCTTACCTCCCCACAAATCTGGTTTCAGGAAACAACAGAACAATGACTGCTTTGCTGAAATTCTTAATGATGTTGTTGAAGCACTGGATGCTAAGGATTATTGTGCTGCACTTTACTTAGACCTGTCTAAAGCTTTTGACACTGGATCATAACATCTTGAGCCATAAGCTCTCAGAAATTGGTTTTTCAGCTCACACCATTGGTTGGTTCACTAACTATCTCTCAGACCGGAAGCAATGTGTTCAACATAATGGTACTTCCTCCAGTTATTTAATAGTCAACAATGGTGTACCACAAGGCTCAGTCTCAAGACCCTCCCTCTTCACAATCTACATAGGTAATGTAGGTCAGAGCACCCCTGATGCATCCTTACATTTTTATGCTGATGATACAGTTGTTTACTGTCGAGCTAAAAACAGTTGCTGAAGTTTTCCAGCTTTTGCAATCCGCCTTCGACATCATCCAGTCAGATTTGTTCCATCTCAAACTTGTCCTAAACGCTGACAAAACCAAAGGGATGCCGTTTTCAAACAGGAAGTCGGTCCCAGCAGCTCTTCCTTGAATGTTATCCTCGACTAGTGCCCCTATTGAGTTTGTCAATTACTACAAATATTTGGGCATCTTGGTTGATTTGCATCTCTTTTTTATGGTTCACTTGAAAAACTTAGTAAGGAAACTGAAAGTAAAACGTTTTTTTTTTTTTCAGAAACAGATCCGGTCTAACTCTGAATGCTAGAAAATGCCTTGTAACTGCAACTTTCCTTCCCTCCATTGACTATGGTGACATTATTTACAATGAATGCCCCTACAAGCACCTTGCAGATGTTGGACACGGTCTATCACGGCGCGCCAAGATTCATAACTGGCTGTAACCATCATACCCACCACTGCACCCTGTATTCACTGGTTAACTGGTAGTCATTAACTTCACGCAGACTCTCTCACCGGTACATTTTTATCTTTAATGACTTCTTGGTCTGTTGCCTTCATACATCTCCTCCTACTTGTCTCTGCGTGAGTGCAGCTACAGCGTGCGCTCTCAGGACATCATTACATGCAGTGTTCTCTCAGTGCGGACCAAACTAGGCAAAAGGGTATTTTACTCTGCTCCCGTTTCCTGGAATATCCTGCAAAAAGATCTGAAGCTCTCGACCTTGACCTCTCCAAGTGGCTTCCAACATCTGCTAAGTTCCTGGCAAAAACCAACGCAGACATGTTCCTGCTTTTAGTATTCTAGTTTGCCTTATAATCTAGATGTTTCGTTTCATTTTTTAATACCATTTTCTTTCAATTGTTCTTCTCAATTTGTATGCTTTCTTTTATGATTGTCTACTGTCATCACTCTCTTTTGTAAATGAGTCCCAGAGGCTCAATGGGATTAACCTGTATAAATAAAAGGTTGAATACACATTCAGCCTTCACCTTGCTGCAGGGACCTCTTCACATGTGGGTACTGATACTTCAACGGGTTGCTCCCCTCAAGAGTCCCTGCATGAGTCAAGTCAAAGGATTCCTCCTCAGTGGGTTCCTGGAAAACAAAACGAAAAGGGATTCAAATCAGAGAAAGGGTGTGTCCAAACAGAGTGCAACCTGTTGTTCAGGCTACAAGTGATACATGCTTATCTGCATTTTTTTTCTCTTAAAGAGTTCAGGTGTGTTGTCCCACCTAAAGGGAGTTTTTGCACTTTGATTAAACTTTTATATTATTTATTCTTAATCAGCCCTTTTAGGCCTGCTGCGTTTAAATGTAACTTCCGCTCACAGGAGTCAATTCAACCACGAGCTGGCTGCTGTTAAAGCTTGTTAAAGCCGAGTGCGGTGAAAGTACCACCTGAAGCGGATGTTCCTTCGTCTCCTCATCAGTCTGAGTGCTGCTCTCTCGCCCGCTTTGTCCAAACAACAGTGGGATTGAAAGGCATAAGAGGAAACATACAAAGCACTGTGTCACCGTCCGACTGCAGTCCGACAAATACCAAAGCAGGCCGAGAGTTACGGCGATGAGAAGGCGCCACTCGTGCATCTTCTTTCCCTTACTGGAGGCTCCTCTTTCCGCTGGCGTGTCTCGGTTTATGTGGTCTGGATAAAGCGACAGCGGACCTGTTCGGCCGCATCTTTAAATCCGAGAGGAGGAGGAGAAAGGAGACGAAACCGAGGTTAGCTCCTCAAACGGAGTCAAACAGAGGAAAAAAAGCGAACTTTAATAAGCTAGTTAAAGCAGAGCTGTGATTGGCTGCAGCGAAGTCCCCGCGTGCCAGCGATAGACGTATATACGGCGCCCTCTAGTGGTGTCTCATGTACATGACAATTATGCTACCATTTAAAACATTAATTCAGCTTTTATCATTAAAAAAATAAAATAAATGTATAATAGCAAGAATAAATGTCGTAAATTTAAAACTCACAAGCAAAAGTACAATAATGAAGACAAAAAGAGCAAAACATTTAAAAAAAGCTGAATCCTATTATAGATGAGTTTGCACTGTTTGATTTTTCATATTCCTGTGTGTGTGTGGGTCAGTTTCACATTACATCTCTGTGTACTTTTGGACTTAAATGGACTGTTTTATTGGTTTTCCAAGGCACTGCTAAGTCTTTTAAGCTGTATTGATCAGGGTGGATTCACTCAGTGCTCAAAGTGGGAAAATACAGTAAGTGCTTGACACATCAACAAAGATGTTCTGTAGAAAATTAAATAAATTAATTAAGTAAATGAGCAGACCAAAATTCAAACGACACATAGATATCACTGCTCAAATGTGGTATTTTGTAAATTACAGTATTTTTTTTGGTAAGAAAAAACAAACAAACCAAAAAAAAACAACAACTTTGGACTACTTTTTAAATGTGTTTATTTGAAATCCAAACATCTATTTTTTTCAAGTGTTGACATGTCATTATGTTAAGGATAATCCTTAAGAACTACAAAACTATATTGTCTATATATTGATGGTTTGAAATCACCTTAAAATATAACGATACTTCACATATTGTTTATATGATCAAAAGAGTAAAGAGCATTTGTATAACATAAGAAGTGGCTCATCCAATATCTTTTTTTTATTTTATTTAAGACCCACAATTCCTTAAAAGAATGGATATCACTGGTCAGTAGCAATTTTATCCTCTATTTGGGGGTCAAGCACCCCTAAATTTTAACTCATCACCTGTAATTTTCAGGGGTGCTGAGTTTAATATAT